GGGTCACCAACTTGGTAAGTTGTTGCCTGGGTGTTTGCCTAGTTGTTACGAGGCGCCACGTGTCGCAATTTCATTGGAGGGCCAAATCTACCCTCATCAGTTAGGTTTTGGGCCTATCCTTATTTTATAATGCCATGCTTTTCCCCTCCTGACTCCACAAAATGCAATACATAATTTTTTTTAAGGCTTAAAGCATATTTCATTCATTTAGGAAATTGATACAGAGAATTGCCAAAAAGGCCAATTAGAAAACCCAGATACAATTGCCCAAGAAGAACAAAATATATAAATGGATGAAGGAGAATATAAAGAACTTGCGCTGTTGCGCATAACCAACCCAAGCTCTGCCCAAGCCTGAATCCAATTCGAGTGCATCAAACTTTTAGTGCTGGCTGAGATTGGGCTGAATAATTTAGGCTTGACTTTGGGCTAAGGCCCTAGGCCCAATTCTTAGGTTAGGCTTTGGGGCTATCCTTATTTTATAATGCCATGCTTTTCCACTCCTGACTCCACAAAATGCAATACATAATTTTTTTAAGGCTTAAAGCATATTTCATTCATTTAAGAAATTGATACAGAGAATTGCCAAAAAGGCCATTTAGAAAACCCAGATACAATTTCCCAAGAAGAACAAAATATATAAATGGATGAAGGAGAATATAAAGAACTTTTGCAACCAAACAAAAGTGAAGTAAAATCACTAATAGAAATAAAGAAGCACATCTCCAATCCACCACTAACTGCGAGAGAGTCTGGAAAGAGAGGTTCCCAAAAGAGATTGCAAAGCGTCGATAATAGTATGGTTGCAGCAGATCCACAAAAAACGGCAAAGCCCCAAATAGTAAAACCGCTACTAAAGACTATAGCTGCCATCCACAATTGCCTTCGCCGGAGAACTGAAAATGGAACTGATCATGAACAACATCTGCTGGAGAATTGTGAGCTGGCTTAACTATGAATGGAAAAACGTAAAGCAACACCCACCAGTACCGATCACCCAATATAAGATCCAAGAGAAGTACCCCCATTGTCAAAATGCTTGCAAAAAGAAAAGAAAGCACAAAAAGAGGCAAAAAAAGAACAATGGGAAAGAGGTGAACAAACGAATAGAGAAAACGGCGAGGGAAGAAAAGGAGAAAATCAGACAAGAAGAAGAACGAAGAATGAAAACAGGGGAGGAGGGAAGAAAAGGAACAAAAAAAGAGAAAAAAACAATAAGAAAAGAATAGAGGGACTCCTTGGAGGCAACCACCCCAAAGGAATTTCTAGAGCAAAAAATAGGCAATGAATAGAGAGATTGAGAAAAACCTCAAGAAAACTCGAGAAGAAACCTCTCTCGAAACAAAGAGAGAGAGAGCTCTTAACAACCAATAAACTGGTATATTCACTCTCGATTGGTTAAGTATGAGGTGATACACAACCAAGTGATTAGTAGACCTGAGTGGCATCAAAGTTAAATTGTACACGGTGGTAAAGGTAATAATATAAGAAGCTGATGCCACTAGAATCATTTCCAAACTCCTACCAAATGAGGCAGTGAAAGCACTACTAAAACCCATACAACCAGGAGCCAAACTTCCTTGATCAACAATATATATGACATGCATAGAAATAAATGAATAGTTTGTTTGAAGTCATTTTAGAGAGTTATAAAGGCTTTATAAAGAAGACCGCCATAAGGTTGTATTTCGTTTGAAACAAGGGAAAATTTAAAATATTTTGAAAGATTTCAAATCTTCCCTCTTTCTTTGAATTCACATGAGGAAAAGAAGCAAAAATGTGGGGATTTTTTTGAAAAGCAAATAAAATAGTTTTGAAAAATAGTGCAAATACATCCTTTCCTTAGCTTTTCAATAACAAAAACATTGAAGTTATCAAAATACCCTTATCAACATCATTGTTAAGTTGTTATCTTACACAATCTAAAGTTCCAACTTCACTCTCTGCTAATTTATTTTACCTAAAAACTTTTTATAAGAGTAATTCTCTCTACTCTTTTTAGACGTAGTAAGGTTAAATGCTAAAGATAAGTAAAAGGTAGCAATTTTTTTATGGTATTTTACTAAATTTACATACAAATGAATATAGTTAATGGTAAATTTGATATTATTAAAAAATAATGCTTTATATCAATATTTTCCATTTAAAATACAGAAGGAAGGAAGGTATTTGCACCTTTTTTTTCAAAGCAATAAAGGTATTTGCACCTTTATATCAATATTTATTATTAAAAAATAAACTTAATGACTTATCAACAGTAAGGCATTTACCTAATGCGGCAGAACATGGTGGGAATGCCACCATCAATGGGACTGAGGGACCCAAATTCCTGAGCAAGGAAACATGAATGATCTTATTAAGAGTTCAAAGTATTGAAAAGTGATTTGACGGAGAATAGTCGACACTTGTTTGATGCCCAGGTTATTTTGTCAATGGTATTAAAGCCATTGTTGATTTGGATGGTTGACCAATTGGCCCGGAAACGAATGTGCTAAACTGTTATTTTAAAATTGGTCAAATGAACTAGTGATCCAGATGCTTAGACTGCTGAACCGTTCATCATGTACAACGATTCCTGGTTTAATATAACTTATTTAAAATTTTTTAAAAATAAAATAACAAAAAAACAGAGAAAATGTAGAGGGAGAAGAGATTGATGTCAAACCTGAAAGTAGAGAGAGAGAGAGAAAGATCAGGTTTAAAGATCTGTGGGAAAGACATCTCAGATTTAGAAATGAGAGATCTCATGAAGTCATGATCTGCTATTATCGTCGCTGTACAAGTCACCGTCGCCCTCTCGTCCAAAACTATCTTACAAAAATGGAAGTCATGATTTGCAACCCCCTCCCCCTAAAAGTGAATCATCCGTTGTAGAGTTACCAAATAATATAAAAAGAGAGCATTTGTTGTATAGGGGTGTAATTTGGGCATGCGATTTTGTTAAAATTTGAATGGGATCGATTCAAAAGTCTGGGCATATATAATCTTTAAATCCAATGCTGACTGATACCATGGGTGCAAGTTGGACAGGTTGGGACCCCAACCTTAAAATTTGGGTTTAAGGTCTAGCCCAAACCGAGCTCAAAGTCAAGTCAGATTTTCACAATTTGAGCCTAGCCTCCATTATAATTTGATGCACTCAAATTGGGTCTCGCTTGGATTACCTAAGGACTAAGTCCAGACCAATCAAAAAAGTAAAAAAGCCCAACTTCTTAAGCCCAAATCCAATCCAAAGACAGAAAATACAAATCCAGCCTGTGTAAAATTTTGGGCTGAATCAATTCGGATTCAGCCCAAAATTGCACCCGTAAATGGCACCCTAAGTATAGTTGCCGAGCCATAGAATTCATAACTTACATGCACCATGTTGAAGAGCTAATTATCAATTTTCGAGAGTATTGAAAGTTAAAACAGGGTTGTCATCCACTTGCTTGGCTACCCACAATTGCACTCTAAAAAAGGTTAACAACCAGAGGCTTCGCCCAATCAGCATTCTCCCCTTCCATTCTGGCTGTTCTGGTGCGTGGGTGGGTGACGGTTATTTGAAATTGTCAAAGTGCAGCTCGAAATTTTATAACGTTAGCTTTCATAGCTCAGTTGGTTAGAGCACCCGTTTAGTAAGCGGGAGGTCTTGAGTTCGAATCTCAATGAAAGCACTTTTTTATCTTTACTATTAATCTGTTCATGAATTAGTTCGGGCTTAGCTTTTGTCAAAATTCTAATGGGCTCGGCCCGAAGCCCGAACTCAAGACAGTGTAAAGTTGGACCCGAAGCCCGGCCAGTGAATTCACTACTATTTATCATGTGGGTCAGGACAGTTTTTTCTTTTTCTTTTTGGTAAATATGGGTCAGGACAGTTAATATCAGTAATGGACGGAGCGTCCTATTCAATAAATATAAACAAAAATGATTATGCTAAAACAATTGTTTTAATTAAACACAATTTGCTAGTGATTTTATAGTTTCATCATCTACAATTTTAGTTTTATGGAAAAAAATCAACAATTTGTGGATGTTATAATAGGCTGGGCTTAAATTTTCAATCTCGGGCTCAAAAGTTGTGATTTTTTGGGTTGGGCCCAGGCATAGACCTTAACCCGAAGCCCGACACTATTAACCTGATCATGGGTCGATTTGGGTTTGGTTTTTGTCAAAATTCTAATGAGCCCGGCTTGAAGCTCGAACTCAAGACAGTGTAAAGTTGGGCCCAAGGCCCGGCCTGTGTATTCACTACTATTCATCATGTGGGTCAGGACAGTTTTTTCTTTTTTTTTTTCTTTTTGGTAAATATGGGTCAGGACAGTTAATATCAGCCTGGGCCTGAGCCCATCTGAGCGTATCAATTTCAGTACCGATTGAGACTGGGTTGGATAATTTAATCCCAATTCTTAGGTTTGGGTCTGGGTTGAACTAAAACCTAGGCTAACCTATCCGATTTGCATACATAATTCGCTCCTAACTCCACAAAATGCAATACATAATTTGCTCTTAGAAACCAATCAATTGGTATTAACTAAAATTTATTGAAGGGGGTGATTGGTCAAAATTCTCACCATCAAATAAGTATCATGCGAGTTCGGATCACCTACCCATGAGAACTCTGCTCACGCCAACCCACAATACACTATCCTCCATGAATTGGGAACATCTCCCCCTGCATAATACTTTGCAGAGGATGAGATGTTCTCCATGTGTGGCTCCGATAAACATAGACAGGAGATCCAAACTTGTATCATGCATCAAGGGAGCCCGAATCTGCTACTCACTTGGCTGTGTATCACCCAATATATAACCAACCAGGCAATCACAAGTAAACATATAAGTTTTCCGTATGCTGACATGTGAGCCCCCATTGATAGGGAATACTCTTGATTGGTTATGTATGAATTGATAAACAACCAAGCTAGCAGTAGATCCCAATGGCGTCAAGGATAGATGGTACTGATGGTAATATAAGAAGCTGATGCTACTACTAATCTACTATCATTTCAAAACTCTACCAAATAGGTAGTGAAAGCGCCATGAAAACCCAAACAACCATTATCAAAGCCTGGTCTTCATTCTCGGGTTTTTCTTTTCTTTTTTTTTTTTTGATATAGAAGAGGGATATTAAGAGCAAAAACACAGAAAAGAGAAACCTAGGGAATCTATCAATAATAATAGATCCGTATCAGGGCGGAGCCAGGGGGACCCAGGAAGCCATGACCTCCCCTATGGTCCAAAAATCCCCCTCTAGGGTAACTTGGCATGTACATGATGATTTGCCTCACCCTTTTACTACTTCAATTGTCACTTTGGAACCACTTAATCCAATTTACTTTCTTTTTGTTTACCTCCGATAGGCCTAGGGCGAGTTGGGCTTTAACAAATTCTTTGCAAATTTGGAGTGCCATCTTTCTTTTTCTTTTAAGTATCTATGGAGGCCCTGTAGTTGAGTTCACATCTCCGCCCCACAGTACATCCCCGCCATGTATTGGAAACATTTCTTGATGATAATACTAGAATCGATAATATCATCATCAGGAAATGTTCTGAATACACTACGGGGATATACTGTGGGGGATATGATTTTTTATTATCCTCCAAGCATGGGAGGCCACTAGGTAGTTAAGGAGGATATGAGCCATATCCTCAATCATTCCACAAGATTTACATTCTGAATCAATTTTGTATCCTCTTTTATATAGTCTCTTTCCTTGGTGGGTAGTTTATTCTTAACTGCAAGCCAGAGAAAAGGTTTGATCTTGAGGGGCATGTTATTTTTTCAATATTTTGAGGATCCTCTTTATTTTCCCGTCAGGCTCTATCTCGTTATTGAGGAGATCATTGGCTGGTTTAACTCATAGCGCTCCAATCTCGTCCTACGACCTTCTCAGTTTTAAATTAGGGGCCAAACTTTCTTGATCAACAATACAATATGCACAGAAATAAATGAATAGTTGTCTTCAACTCGTTTTAGAGAGTTATAAAAGCTTTATAAAGAGGAAAAGAAGAAAAAATGAGGGTATCTTTTTTGAAAATCAAATAAAATAACATTACCAAAAAGCTAAATACAAATAGACAAGTTGAGTAAACACACCATCTCCTCCGGGCTTAACAACTTGCACTTTGCAGCTGTAGTATGAGCATAGGCATTCATATACTAGTTGGGACCAAGGTTTAAAGTATCGGAAATGTAAGGTGAATCGAAAAGATAATTTTAAGAGACATATCGGGGTACACTTTGGATACATATAGATATGGATGAAAAATCAAGATATGCATAAATATGCTAAAAACTCAAATAAATCATAAAAATATATAATAACAATAGTTACAAGTTTTATATGATTGTAAATAAATTATTTAAAAGTAAAAAAAAAACTGTAATTTAATAGTCTATATAAAATTCAAGAATCAACTAGTGGTGACCCTCTAGTTGTTAAAGCCTAATGTCCAAGAGAATTCCAATTAATTAACGAATTTAATGAGAAACAAAGTTATTAATTAGCAAAATTAATGAGAAGAGAATTCCGATTAGGCACTAAAATTGAAATTCAAATTTAAAATTATGCATTAATTATAGGAGTAATTAACTAATTAATGAGAGAGAAATTGCACATAACTATAGGAGTAAATATAAAATTAATGAGAGTTAATTCGACCCTAAATATAGAGCCCGATACAGACCAATACATACGAAAAAGAACACTATAGATAATTTCTATGCATTCCCTCTATCAGACTTATACTGGAACAATACGTATCGGCTGATACGGAATGATACGTATCAGCCGTATCGGCTAATACGCTGTGAAATTTTGAACCTTGGTTGGGACCTGTGCGATGCACGAGCTTTATTAAGAAAAATTGAAGAAGCAACTCTATGATAATTCAATTAAGCAATGGTCAATGATGAAGGGCGATTTAGCCCTCCAGTGATGTGTGACACATGGAACCCTAGAACCATTGTATGACACATCAGTGCCATGCAGGCAACTATTTCAGAAGCACTTCGGACACATCAGAACTGCCTTAATTGCCTCGATCCCACCGCAATAGGCCAACCTACAAACACCATGGAAGGGGTCAGGTCGGCGTAAGAGGCACCCTGCCTCCACTGACCTGATCAACACCCAACTAACAACCTATACGATGTGACAGGGTACCTCATTCACAAGTGGGTTATCGTCTCTGACTCCTCTGTGATTATGTTGTCACACTGACGGAACTGGCTCTCGTCTTGCTTGTTCTAAATGGGGCAGACCGTTGACTTCAAATGCTTTATGTGAAGCCCATGAAATCTACATCTATATAAAGGCATCCCTTTGAATAGAAAATGTATGCGTGATTTAGTGAAAATTAAGTTGATTTTTAATTAGTAGAAGTTAGTTATAAATTAATAACTATTAGATAATTTTGTATTAGTTTTATATTAATTTGTCTTATTTTTATTATATTATAAAAATATTTTCATCAATAGTAACAATTAATGATAATTTTTATTTTATTTAAGTAATTCACTAAATTATTTTTACTATGATTCATTATTTTTTATTATTTTCAAATGGAATATAAAAGGACAATAATTTTTATGATGTTTTATTAAATGTTTTCTACCCATCATTGACTTGGATGATTGAACCATTCATATTATGTCTCGGGCCTATTTATAATTCCAGGTTTCCCAAAACCCACTATTTTGCCAAAAAACATTGGTTTGAGTTGTGTTTGGTACCATTGTTGTTTCTTTGAGAAACATTTGGGGGTTGATCAATAGAAATTAGTCTTAAAATATAAGTTGCCATGTCACACAATCAAAAACATTTTAGGTTGATCAATACAAATTGTTGTTGTTACTTGAAACATCAAATTTAGTGTTTCAACTCTAAACAACAATGATAGGTCCCCACATTCATTTTTTCAATTGAAATGACTCTCTTATTCTCTTATGTTATGTGACAATTCATCTTTCTCATTAATTTTTATTGATAAACCCCAAAGCATTTCATGAAGAAACTACAATGATTCCAAACACAAACTTGGTCAGCACCTGTTCAATCTGGGTAGTTGAATGATTGACCCTTTTAACCTTGTCATTGGATCAATGACAATGTATTGAAAACTTTTGGAGGGCTTAACTTTGTGCTCAGTTGTCCAATTAGGTAATCTTTTTTATTTTTATTTTGGGTACCTTTCGCAATCTTTGCAACCCCACTGTACAAAAAAGAACTTAATATTTGACCTCAAATTTCAATTTTTAAAACACTACTTTCATTTGTTGAGTGAAGTAAATAATATTTTTGCTGAAGAGCAAAAATAGAATAATTTAAATAATGATTTAAATAATAATAATAATAATAATAATAAGTTAAAAATTGAATATCTTTTGAACAAAAATTGAATATCTCTATTTTAATATAATTAATTTTTATTAAAAATTATAATTTAATATAAATATATCTAATTTATCTAAAAATTATAATTAAATTGGAAGGATATAAATATAGATAAAGTTAATGAATTATCAATAGTTAAGGCATTTATCCAATGCAATAGAACATGGTAGGGATGCCACTATCGATGGGGCCGAGGGGACCCAAATTCATGAGCTAGGAAACATACATGATATTTAAGAGTTCTTTTTTTTGGTGAACAGCATGATATTTAAGAGTTCAAGCTATTGAAAACTGATTTTATTTAGACCGGTTTGATGCCCACATTCTTTTATCTACCGAATCAAGATTGGGAATTATTTGCTGAATCTTGTATAAAGTATGTGGCTAAAACACAACCATTTTAAAATAGAACTGAACCCATGAAGAATCTTTCTTATCAATTTAAGAAATTTAGGCATGGATGTAATCCTGCTATGTTTGGTTGCAATGCAAATAAATTTACACACATGCAAAACTATGGTAGTGCAAATGATTTGGGTGTGAATTTTGATTTATTTTTGTTTCAAATTTTATCTTACTTTGTTTGGTTGCAATACAAATGAAGTAAAATAAGGCTGGGAGCAGAATAAAGTAAAATCCAAAATAAAATTAAATAAAAAATTGCATTTTTCTCATTTCCACTCCCATACATTTGTACTACTGCAAATAAAATTGTAGTGCAACCAAACAGAGCTATGTAATCTTTCTCAATTCTGGTGAAAATGATGACATTAATAGGTCCTTTGACCCATTTTTGAACTACAATATACAAGGTTGAATTAATAGGTTATTTTTTGGTAAAATATATATTTTATTAAAGGAACACAAAAGGAAAATGAGAATAATCAGGGGGGAAACATGTATGGGTTACTTCTTTGTAGTCAATACCCATATGGCCATGTTGAGACTAAAGAATGTAGTAGTGTCCCTTCTATTTCAATTTCTATAAACAAAAGCATGTCCATTGTACAATTCCCTACTAGTATGTATATAAAGAGAGAGAGAAGAGAACCACCGTGCCTTTGAATCGACGGCCCAGATTGAGACATATCTGACGGTTCGCAGCCAAGCTGACCACACGACTCTGGAAACCGAAACGTGATTGGTTGCACGTCTCCCATAATTGATGTGATGACGGCTGCACGATATCCGGAATTAGGAAATGCTTTAGCGTGTGTCTCGATATTCGAAAAGTCAGAAACCCCTAGCTCCCGCGCACGCATTTAATAAGAGCAATCAATCAAAGTTTGAATTTCGGTCAAATCAACCCGTCACACTCCATGAACACCTCGCGCTAAGGTATCACTCTTAGCCCGAGGAGTGGGGGGCAATTGATGGAGGGTGATTTGACCCGACTCCTTGAAAGGATGACACGTGGATATGATTTAGCATGAGCAGCAATCCAACGCACACCTTGACTGCGACTAAGTAGTGAGCTCGTGGGACAACTCGCTGTGCCTTAGCTCGCTGACGGGAGAGCTCGCTACCGCGCAAGCTCGAGCTCCCCCAAGCTACTAGAAAGGAATACTCCAAGATCACTTCAGCTCGTGAGCTTGGGTGATCAGCTTGCTCCAGCAGAAGAGTTACCCCCAAAGACAGTCTCGAAAAATATCCCGAAACACTCCTAAAATCTCGCCACGAGATAGCTCGCTAACGAGAGACACGGTGCCCTCGAGAAGCTTCCACTGACAAGACCGTACCTGACAGACTGCTCCGCGTTCCCTGACAGATGGCGCAGTCCCTGTCAATTCGGCAGACTGCACCCAGGTCTCTCTCAACAGATGGGGGCGTGCCTGCCCTCGCGAGACGTGTCACTCACCCGGTAAGGCAGTACTCTGCAATGATCGCCTGCGCAGCCCTGACCAGTAACGGCTGCGGCAGACGTTCAGTGGCGGTTATGCCCACCTTAGCAAGGAACGCCCGTATTTAAAAGCCCCCAGACGAAAGGAAAAGGTATATGAAATTAACTAGAGACCATTATTGATTTAGCGCGACCTACGCTCTTAGCTTCCTTTGCATTACTCACCACTATTTCAAGTAGTCTAACTTGATCGTCGGAGTATTCCCACCGGGTAATCCCCTGGGAATTCTTCACCATCTTCTTCTCAGGTGCCGTCCGTTGCCAGATAGGAGCCGACTCTTTGCCAGGTAAGAGTGCCCGGATTGCGCTGTATCAATAGTAATAAGTGAACATTGAATAATGTTAATGATTAATTATTAAAATAATAAGTATTAATTAATTATTAATTAACTTTTAATTATAATATTTATTATTATTATTATTATTAATATTTCTAAGAAATTAAGATATATTCATAAGCAAAGCGGAAAGAGTACATCAGAAGTTCGGATATACAGCATCCATAGTACATGGCTTTCTGACTTTCTCTATGCATGACAGTTTTAATGTGCAAGTTTGTGAGCTATCGCCCAGTAGATCTATTTACTTGCTGCTGCAATTTGATCGAACAGGTCAACAAACTAAAAGCAAATTAATGGTTGCTTAATTTGACCTGAATCAAATTAATGGTCGCTTAATTTGACCTCCATTATATTGCAGTTTGTAATTCTCTGACTAAGGCAAGGCATAGCTAGCTTTTCTTCTACTTTATTCTTTTTTCCTGCCAAAGCTTTTTCTGCTATTTGTTAACGATCTTTCCGTTCCTTGAGCAACAACAAAGTCTCCATCGTTAGTATGCATTAAAATTTCAATATCTTGATTAATCTGGCACTCAAAGACCAATCCACACCGATTGTATGTGGTTAATGTCCCTTGTTAAGGCTGAATTTGAATAGGTTGCTTATATTTTTTAAAATTTGTTTGTTTATTGCCTCCCATATATTGCAACAAGTTGTTATTATTTCCAAGAAGACGTTTCTTTCAAGCTTTTGGTCTATACATCTGTATTAATTTCTCTAGAATATTGAAAGCAATACAAATGTGCACCCATTGATTATATGTCTGATTGCAATTTAAGCAACTAAAATGGATTTAAATAATTCAACGGCTTGACCCAAATTATCGAGAAGTTGAAGATGCTAATTTGCTAGGTTGCTGGTCAGACCAGATCTTGTATGCACACACTTAGTTAGCACATTGAGTAACCACTAAATCATTTTGCTGAAACCGACTGAGTGGTGGTCAGTTGGTAGATAGTCTTATCTTAGCAGATGGATTCGAATCTGTGACTGTGAGTTATTAATTAATGTATTGTATTAAATATTAAAAATAAAAGAAAATCATTTTTCTGAAAGATGTCCTAGAAATATGTATAAAATGCCCTGAGAGGTATTTAATTAATTAAGGGACAAGTATCAACATTCTATTAAATGTGCTTATCGAGTGTGCTCACCGGTACTCCCACGACTTAACCCGAGTTAGCCAGGTGCAAGTTGATCATTGTTTTCTTTCGCGCGTATAGAAGCAAGCGGAAGGGCAAGACACCGACCGAGGGTAACACTACCTTCCAGAATAAAAATTAACTTAAGTACTGAAGACGCGATAAAATGCATTATTGTATATCAGCTCTACTGTTTCTCTCTGAAGAAATTAATATAATTGCTCCCAAGTTGAACATTTTTATGTTTAATTGATTAATTCTCTAACATATCTTTGATTAGCAATTCCATTAGCTCATGCAATATTATAAGGTATATCATTTTGTCTATTCAGTTTCAATCCGATGCACTTCGATCAAGTTGAGTACTAGTCTGTCAATGATCGATTAGTCAAACCCATAGAACAGCAGCATTCTGTGGTATGACCAATGGGCTGCTTTGGGGATCCACCTGGGGCGTCTAGGGGTGTAACTTGGTTGGGCCCAACATGAACCTGATTGACCTAGCTTGTAATTTTATACGGGTTAATTGGGATTAGATTTTTGGTTTTTGGGTTGTGTTTGGGTCCAAATATTTCAAGGCCTCGCCCTTAGGTGGCCTGAGCTCGACCCTATCTTATTTTAACCCAAGCCCAGCCTGCCTATGTATATACATATATGCATATTATCTTTTGATAAATTATACACATATGTATACATAGATACACATATATATATATATATACATTTACATTAAATTTTAGTGTGAATTGGTAGACCAATCTACGTGCATTAAATTTCAATTCAAGTGAGATTCGGATTGAACTTAAACCCAACCTAGCTTGCCCAAATTGGGCCTGGATTGAGCTTAAACCCAGCCTAACCTGTCCAATTTACACCCCTAGGGGCTTCTGACCATCTGTATGTATAAGTCGTCCAATCAAACTCAGCTCATCTAACTCATTAGAACACTCATTTTCTGTTCATCCACCTCATCTTACATAACATCGTTATGTTATACATCTAATGCAGTAGTGACAAGTCTTGCATTTGGCTTTCAACTTGCAACTTGAAACCTTGATAACTATCTTTCGTTTGTAAAAGGTCAATTTGGAAGGAGTACAAATGCAAATATGTAGAGTGCAAAATCTTATATTTTATATGTATTTGCATTTATCTGCCAAAGTTTCATATTAATTCTAACAATTATAACACACTTAAACATGGATGTCCAAGTAAGGCTATATTGGCTACTTTTTTTTTTCTATTGGATACATTATTTTCTTTTCATTAAAATAAGAAATATAAAGCAAAATCCCATATCACAAACTAGCAGAAGGTCGATTGTTACAAAATGTCTTCGATTTGGCTTTTGGCTTACAACTTGATGAAAACCCTGATATCTCTCTAGCATTTGGGACAACTTTTCACGTTAATTTTAAAATCTAAAACTTGCTTAAACACGAATTTCCAAGTAGGGTCTTTTTCGCTACTTGATCCATCTATTTCCTTTTGGAAAAGAAGAAAATCTAAAATAGTCCCATAGGAAAAATCAACCCTTACTATATCTACTACTACTACTACCACATCATTGTCATGCACAATTGTTCTTCCTTTTTTCTATCCAACTACGTTGATCAGGTTAACATATTCTGGGTGAAATTGAAAAGCCAAATCGAAAATTTCGGTTTCAGCTTTCTTTAGTTATCAACTTTGGTTCTTAAATCTAAAAATTTAATTAACAAAATTTTATTGTGGGATAATATTATATTAGTGAAACTTATTTTTAACTGAAAAAATGGAATGAGAAATTTGGTTTGGTTATTTTGGATTTTACTTAGTTTATTTGTTGTCGAATTTTTCTCTTAAAATTTTAGTTATTTCAATTTCAATTTATTTAGTTCTGTTAGAGAATATCAACCTATTCAAGGACTTCATCTAATAGCCTAAGCTTTTAGGTTGAATGCTTATTTGAGATGGTACCAGAGCTACTTTGATCAAATGGCCTAGTGTTTGATCCTCATTACCTCTATTATAATTGATTAAATTTCAGCACAAGGTATGGGTGGGTACCTCTATTATAGAGCAGAGAAGAGGCCAAGCCAAGAGCAATATTGTACCTGACCTTCCAGGTCAACAAGGTTTTATCTTTGAAGAGATGAGAATCAAGGCTACCATTGGGCATGAACTCATACACCAGGAGGAGTTCTCTCTGTTTGTGGCACCAACCAACAAGTTTCACCAAATGCCTGTGCCTTAGCTGACTGATGATCTTTACCTCTGCCTTGTATTCTTTTATCCCTTGCTTAGATCCTTCAGAAATTCTTTTGACAGCTATATCCAACTTACGATCACTCAAGAAACCCCTATAAACTCCTCCAAATCCTCCCTCTCCAAGCTTCATTTCCGCATTGAAATTATTTGTTGCACGWACCAATTCKCCATAYGAGAACTTCTKGGGTCCCGTTTCCCTTTCAAAATCTTCGTCCATTGAGGCATCGGGCGACCTATTCCTTTTCTTTTTCAGGACTAGCAAAATCATAACCAAACAACCAATCAAGGCACTTGTACCAACAACCAACCCCACCACCAAACTCTTGTTTGGCTTTGAATTGTTGCTAATCAGCAAGCTTGAAGAATTTCTTATCTCCAAGCTTGAACTGAAATTCCAGGAGAGAATACTATGGAATTCGAAACTCCATCCTGTTGAAGCAGAGAAGCCAATATTAACMCATTCCGGCAATTTATTTCTCAAATCTACCCTATAGGAGAGGCTAAGGGTCTCACTTCCCTTCGCTCCGTCAACATATATCAAGAAAACACTCAAGTCTTTTGTGCTAGAATTATAACTGACCTGAGCATCGCCTTTCACCTCGTTTGTTCCACTAATATTCCATTGAACTTCTTTAACAGATATGATTGCATTAACGTCAATACCTACATGACGATATTTTGGGTCTTTTCCATCATTTGAGTATGTATCAAACTCTACTGCAACAGCTTGATTCTCACCTGCATTGGTTCCAGTCTTATTGTCAAAAAGACCAAGGAATTGACCTGACGAAGAAGCAATGACATTAGTATCAGCAGTTGGAAGAGGAGGGAGGGAGGAATTGGGAGCAAGGAAGAAGGTGAATCCGTCGCCCGGTATATATTTAGAATCCTTATCAAAGGAAAGGGAAAAGGAGAAATGGGTGGTGAAGTCTGTGAGGTTGTTGGTGGCATTGTCCCAGAGGCGAATGGGTTTGTTATATATGACTCGACCGGCACTGCAATTAAAAGGTTTGTCAACTTCTCCTTGGGTGAGTGCAAGTGTATTCGAAGGGGAGCGGTAGGCATGTCCCTGAAATTCTAGTTCGTCTGCCTTATCCGATGGAAAATTGGGATAGTTGAAGGATAAATGGTGTTGCAGAGACGATAAAGAATGGGAAGAATAAGAAAATATGGAACAGAATAAGAACTAAGTTTGAAGATTGGAGGTGGGAGTTTGATGAGTGGAAGAGAGCCATATAGTTGGAACTTGGGAATCGCCAAACTGGATGTAATGGAGTTACGAGTGTTAGCAGTGGATCTGAATTGGGCGAATCCTAAATATAAGATTTAATGAGAGTGAACTAAGAATAAATGTAATATTTTAAATTATAATTAGAGAGACAAAAAGGCTAGGATTTAATTAATATTAATAGGAGTTAATATCTTAAATATAAGACTTAATGAAAGTAATTTGAATGAAAAAAAATAGTTGATCAAATTATTAATTTTCCTTACAATTAGAGAACAAATAAATACAAAATTAATATATTTCAGTCAAAAGACAGTTTCAAACTATCATTAAGACTTTTAAAATATACCAGCACCAACCCACCCAATTGCCACCCCCAAATTAGGCTCTAAATGGATCAGAGATAATTTGAATCAAATTTGAATCCGATTCATTTAGGTTACATTCAGGTATTCATTTATCCATAAGCAGATCAGAAAATATTGATCCATTGATTAATTAGATCAAATCTGGATATTGCTTGATTTAATCCATTGGGACCTCATCCAATTCAGTTACACATATATTTACATATATAAAATATTATTGTTTAGCGTTAAAATTCTTTAGAATTATGTTGGATTTGTGATTTAGATCCACTTATTCCAGAATCCACAACCCAGTTGCTACTATTGAAACTGAAACTGCCAAAAGAAAGACTAGGCCATCGGATTAAATTGAACAGTCAACAGGCTGTCGAAACTATCTAGGTAGCGACATTAAGACCAATAACATTTGTCATCATCTGTTATCATAACTGCACATTTAATTATGAAAGAATGCCCGATCAGCCCAGGGTCAAAAAGCTCAAAGTACTGTCCGGTAGTATCAGCTCAGAATTAATGTCAATTCCGAGTTGGTGCATAGAATTATCGTTTATGATAATTAGGTGCACTAGGCTCTACATCAGCATAATAGTGAAAAAATGCCTGACAGTTTGTGGAAGCTTTAAAAAAATAACTTCCATAAACGGTTAGCGTGCACAAAAACTGAAATCCACTTTTATTATTTTTATGCATACGGAAGAGCAAGAGAGAGAATCTGTTGAAGTGGTGCCTATATGGCAGCGTTTATTGAATAAACGCCCACGGAATCAAACACCCTAAAAAAAAAGAAATAACAAGAAACTATTCTTTCTTTCAGATCTATAAAACAGTGGGAAGAAAAAAGAACCAGGCCCCATTTGGTTCATAGGAATAAGGGGTTTGGAATCGGAATCAGAATGGGATATTCCGATTCCAACTATTTATTTGGGCGGAATCAGAATTCCATTCTCATTCCTGTTAGAATGACATTTCCCCATTTGAAGGATTGGTCATTCCCTACCCCTCCCCTGGGAGTGAAATCTCATTCCATTTGATTTTTATTCCTATTCTTATTTGAACTAAACAGATTGGAGAAATAAACCATTCTGATTTTGAATCTAAAAAATTTCGATTCCAACTCTGATTTCAACTACAAACCAAACGGATCCTCATTTATTGACTTATGGCTCTCAATGACATTAAATCATTAATCAAAAGATTCAAAACCAACAAAGCAAAAGCTCATAAAGAATATATCGGACAAAAGTAAAAATTAATATATAATGCCCAGCCTCGGCCTTGAAATGAGCAATGTAGCCCAGCGTTGAATTGACCAGGCCAACTACTGCAGGCTGTGACATGAAAAGTGTAGACGTAATCCGGCGTTGGAACCAATAAAATATTGTTTTTTAAAATAAAAACAATTTTATAATATAGAAATTATATCATTTATGGAACATGGTAATAAATAATCAAAGGAAAACATGTTATTAAAACTGGACTTAAGAACATGATTTTGGTTTCAGTTCTGAAAACAAAACACATACACAAACAAGAACATGTTTCTTATGTTATTGTTTTAAGAAACATATAGATACGAACTGTAGTATGAGCATAGGCATTCATATACTAGTTGGGACCAAGGTTTAAAATATCGGAAACATAAGGTGTACAAAAAGATAATTTTAAGAGACGTATCGGGATACACTTTGGATACATATAGATACGAAAGAAAAATCAACATACGCATAAATATACTGAAAAGCTCAAATAAATCTTAAAAATATATAATAACAATAGTTACAAGTTTTATATGATTGTAAATAAATTATTTAAAAAAAAAACTGTAACTTAATGGTCTATATAAAATTCAAGAATCAAGATATTGGGACACTTAGTAACTATTCACAAATAATGGAATAACTAAAACGTGAAAAAACAAAAAAAAACTAAAATGTATATTGATATATATTAGTTTCGAAACAATCAATATAATTTATCTTCATATTTATTAATACATAAATTTTAATAATTAACTCTAACATTTATTGATAAGCATACACTAAGAAAAAGAGAAAAATTATTTAAAAATAAACATGCATAAACCTATAACAAGCAAATGGGCATGACTTAGTGGTGAACCTCTAGTTGTTAAAGCCTAATGTCCAAGAGAATTCCAATTAATTAATGAATTTAATGAGAAAGAGGGTTATTAATTAACGAAATTAATGAGAAGAGAATTCCAATTAGGCGCTAAAATTGAAATTGAAATTTAAAATTATGCATTAATTATAGGAGTAATTAACTAATTAATGAAAGAGAAACTGCACATAACTATAGGAATAAATATAAAATTAATGAGAGGTAATTTGGCCCTAAATATAGGGCCCAATACAGACTGATACATACGAAAAGGAATGCTATAGATAATTTCTATGTATTCCCTGTATCGGACTTATATGGGAACAATATGTATCTATTGATATGGAACAATACAGATCAACCGATACGGTCTGATACGTTGCAAAATTTTGAACCTTGGTTGGGACCTGTGCGATGCACGGGCTTTATTAAGAAAAATTGAGGAAGGAACTCTGATATTTCAATTAAGAAATGGTCAATGATGAAGGGCGATTTAGCCCTTCAGTTATGTGACACATGGCACCCTAAAACCGTTGTATGACACATCAGTGCCATGCAGGCAACTATTTCAGAAGCACTTCGGACACATCAAACCTGCCTTAATTGCCTCAATCCCACCTCAACAAGCCAACCTACAAACACCCTAGAAGGGGTCAAGTCAGCGTAAGAGGCACCCTACCTCCATTGACCTGATCAACGCCCAATTGGCAACCTACACGTTGTGATAGGCTACCTCATTCACGAGTGGGTTATTGTCTCTGACTCTTCTGAGATCACGTTGCCACACTGACAGAACTGGCTCTCGTCCTACCTGCTCTAAATGGGGCAGGCCGGTGATCTCGAATGCTTTATGTGAAGCCCATGAAATCTACATCTGTATAAAGGCATCCCTTTGAATAGAAAATGTATGTGTGATTTAGCTCTCAAACTCAATTTTATAATTTATCATATTTTTTATGTAATTTAAATTTATTTTAAATTAATTAAATTATATTTAAAATTAATAAAATTTTATAAATTTTTGTTTTTATTAATCCTTGCTAAGTTTAATTAATTATATTAAGCTTTTATATTTTAGTGAAAATTAAGTTGGTTTTAATTAGTAGAAGTTATAAATTAATAACTGTTAGATAATTTTGTATTAGTTTTATATTAATTTTAAATTTATTTTAAATGGATAGTAGTTTCAATTTATCTTAGGTTTTATTAATTAATTTATTTTTATTATATTATAAATATATTTTCATCAACAATAACAATTAATGATCGTTTTTATTTTATTTAAGTAATTCACTAAATTATTTTTTATTATTTTCAAATGGAATATAAATGGACAATAATTTTTATGATGTTTTATTAAATGTTTTTTCTACCCATCATTGACTTGGATGATTGAACCATTCATATCATGTCTCGGGCCTATTTATAATTCCAGGTTTTCCAAAACCCACTATTTTGCCAAAAACCATTGGTTTGAGTTGTTTTGGTACCATTGTTGTTTCTTTGAGAAACATTTGGGGGTTGATCAATAGAAATTAGTCTTAAAATATAAGTTGCCATGTCACACAATCAAAAACATTTTAGGTTGATCAATACAAATTGTTGTTGTTACTTGAAACATCAAATTTAGTGTTTCAACTCTAAACAACAATTATAGGTCCCCACATTCATTTTTTCAATTGAAGTGACTCTCTTATTCTCTTATGTTATGTGACAATTCATCTTTCTCATTAAATTTTTTTAATAAACCCCAAAACATTTAATGAGGAAACTACAATGATTCCAAAAGCAAATTTGGTCAACACCTGTTCAACCTGGGTAGTTGAATGATTAACCCTTTTGACCTAGTCATTGGGTCAATGACTATGTATTGAAAACTTTTGGAGGGCTTAACTTTGTGCTCTGCACAAAAAAGAACTTAATATTTGACATCAAATTTTGATTTTTAGTCTTTTATTTATAAAAAAATTAAAAACTACAATAAAAAGTACAAATTAGAAATTTGACTTGTCCAACTCACACAACTGAATCGTTGACCTATTACTTAGAGGCAAGAACAATTTAGCCTCTTGGCCATTTTTTGAAACACTACTTTTATTTATTGAGTGAAATAAATAATATTTTTGCAAAAGAGCAAAAATAGAATAATTTAAATAATAATAATAATAATAAGTTTACAATTGAATATATTTTAAATAAAAAATTGAATATTTAGCCTAATAATACAATAAATCATTGAATATCTCCATTTCAATATAATTAATTTTTATTAAAAATTATA